AGTAAGTTAGGCCATTTGGCGGAACCAACTTGAAGATAGAGTCTGGGGTACATTAAGATAGCTTAAGACCACATTTCCATAAGAAAAAGAAATGTATTGGTTAACTCAAGGTTTGAGAGTAGTTAGCTTTAAGTGAGACCAGGTGTCATGGCAACACAGCATGTTAAGAGAAACCTTTTAAATTTGTACAGAGAAGGAAAAACAGATCGCTGGTTTGTTTCTTCCTGCCGCTTAAGAGAGATAAAAATGTCTGGCACTTGCAGCCTCTTTCCTCCTTTTGGAGACCCCTGGCCTTCCTGCCTGTTACCCTCTCAAGTGAGGAAGGGGTTCACCTTCCTCACAATATGCAACCTAAAGATATCCTTTAGCCCTGTCTGTTCTCCCTGGAATTCCTTTATCAGCTAGCCTTTCCTTCCTCTCTGATTCAGCCTCTCAGCCTCTTCCTAACATCTGAGGCTTCCTCCGTCTTTCTCATTCCTTCTCAAGAACAGTCAAATATTCCTCTCTAGGTTCACATGAGCATCACCATCCTCTTCTCTGAAGCCTGAATACCTACCAAGTCATTCTCAGGAGGCTTAACTTCCACCTGGGTATAGGCTAACAAAGCATCTTCTCAGCAAAATTGTGACTCTTCATACATGGATTTCTCATTGCAGCAGCTACGTAGTAATATTCTCCATAACATTGCAAAAACAGTATAGACAAAAGGCAGATTTGTGGTCAGGTGCAAGTGTACAGGATGGATTTATGATGGCAAGATGGAAAACAGGAAAATCACAGGTTCTTGCCCTAACAGATGGTGGTAGTGTAGGCTGTTCCACTCCAGGGCTCTCCCTATGCTGACATTCAATTACTTTGCTTCAGGCTAGAGATACAGACAGCTTCCTCTCCCAGCCATGTCCAACCAGAAGGCTGCTTTCCACTGGGTGCCATTTCCCTAGACTCTCTGGGTCACTCTTACAGCTTCTTCAGAGGCCTCTTAAGACCTCATCTCTTATTGTGAGGTCTATACCTTAAAGAACTGAAAAAAAAGATATTAAACAGATACCTGTATATCATGTTCACAGCAGAATTATTTACAGTATTCCTGAAGTGGAAATAAACCATGTGTCCATTAATTGATAAATGGATACATAAAATGTAGTATGTCCTCACGATGGAATATTATTCAGCCATAAAAAGGAATTAAAGTCCTGATACTTGCTACTACAGGAGTAAATCTGGGAATTGTCTTTTAGCAAAAAAAAAAAAAAAAAAAGCCACCACAAGGCCACAGTACGTATGATTCTACGACTATGAAATGCCCAAATCAGGTAAATCTTTAGAAAGGTGATTAGTGGTCTCCAGTGGCTGGGGGAGAGAGGAATAGGAGGAGTGTTGCTAACCACTATTAGGTTTTCCTTTTGGAATGATGAAAATGTTTTGGAAATAGAGGTGATGGTTGCACAACACTGTGAATGTCTAAAATGCCATTGAATTGTACACCTTAAAATGGTTCATTTTATGAACGTAACTTCAATAAAAATAAATAGAATTGGTAGCTAAAATACTGAAAGCAATGTGAATCTTTCTCATAATCACTTTACAAACTCGTGGAGGGTTACTTCGGCTAAGCACTGTGAGAGGGGTCCCCGGGTTTTAATTTGGAGGGAATCTGGGAGGCGGTCGGTTCTTGGCTCCTCCCTCACGGGGCGGGTCCAGAGGCGGGGCTTGGCAGACAAGGGCGGGGCCCGGGAGTCGCCGGACGCCCTGACGGGCGGGGGCACGTCAGCACGAGCTCCGCCGGTTGCCGGGAGAAGCCATAACAACAAAAGGCGCAGGCGGCGGCGGTAGCGGCGGCGCGGCAGAGCGAAGTGAAGCCGAGAAGTCCTGCGCTGCGCTGGCCGCCTGAGACGGGCCTTCTCGAACCGGTCTGTGAGTGGCATGCGGTCCGGGCTGGGCGGGAGGTCCGGGTCTGGTGCGGCGACAGCGCGTCCTCTGCGCCGGCGTCCTCGGCCGGCCGTTGGGAGGAGAGGGTGCGGGCGGGGGGACTGGGACCCGCCGAGGCTTGGCNGGCTTGAGGAATAGGGACGCGCGGGAACCCCGGACCGAGCCGCACGAAGTCAGATCTTGTGTATTATCTTCTGTTCATACTTGAGCTGTGGGATCTGAAGAGGGACGGGAAAGGCCCACCCTCCTTGGGGCTTTCGTTTTGTCCCCACAGGCCTCCTTTTTCCATTGCGGATGTTGGAACTTTGCTGCATTCTAAGCTCTGCAGAAGTCTGAAAGCCCTCTCCCTTACAGCCGGAGATAATTGAGAGAGAGAGAAAGGGTGTCCAGATTTTCTTTGAAACATTTAAAACATTTTAAAAATAAAACCTCGCCCCCTCCCAGTTGGAAAGCTTCGTTGTTTCCCCATGTTTGCTTCCTGTCTTCTTCGACTATTTCTTTATCCATTTGGGGCCTTTTCTGAGATCCTTATGAGACTACTCGTAAGTTTCTTACGAAAATATTTATTACTTACAAACTACAATTTTTAGATAATCACTACTGTTGAAAAGCCAGAGGCACTAGATGACTACGGTATTTGGAGACACTTTTCTAATCAGTAACGGCATCAGTAATCAAACATTTCTCCTTCCTTTGCTCAGATTTCAAAACTCCATTGAGTGTGCGTAAATATCACCAGCCAGTCATATTTTACCTTTCTTCAGATTTATTGGTGAGATATATGCTTCTGATGGCTGTATTTGATCAGTATCTAAAGAAGTATGAGTACTATGAATTTTTTAAAAAAGAAAAATAAATTCTTTTATACTGATTTTTTTTTTTTTGCTAGCTATATGTTTATGGGCCCTTATTGGTTTTTAGTGATTAGAGTAGGTGGATTTTTGTTGCCTTTGTATTCAGATTGTTTATAGATACTGATTTAAAAAATCAGTAAAGTGAAAATATCCCAATTATACCTGTACCTTTTATTAGCAATTTTATTGGAAGTAGTTAGGTTTAGCTTAACATAGACTGTTTTGTTTTAATGTGGTGGTATTAAAAAAACTAGTCTGTGTGGTAAAAAAAACTCCTAATATAGGTGTTCAGAGACATTTGAAAGAACTAAATCATACTACATCCCTGTAGTTGCTTTGGAAAAGTTTCCAATACCAAATGGTGTATAGCCCTTTATTATCCAAGAAAAGATTCCCCATATTTATGAGTATTTGTTTTTTCAGTGCTGAATTTCACTAGAATGATTAAAACTGCCAAGGTTAAGTGCATCTCTTTGGCCATTAAAGCTTGTTTGTTGACTCTGTTTGGGGATTTTACAGCCCATGGGAGCTGATATTTTTTTAACTCTCATTGGGCTGTTAGTACAGTGATGTAAATGTTTTTTTTGTTACTGTGATCCTTTTCAGACAGTCCACTCCCCAAATTATAAATGCACAGTACTGCTGCAGAGTTATTTTTAAAGGCTAGTGAATACTAAATGTGCCTTAATTAACATTTTCATTGCATGTAGTGCTGAAAATATTATTTTAGTCCATTAGTCTCCTCGGTTACTAGAGAGCCCTTCTCCATAGGGCTCAGCCCCACCCCAAACTGATTGCTTTTCATCTGCATTTAAACGTAGATTACTTATTACTTCCTTTTTCTTTTAACTTTTATACTAACAAGACTGTGAACATTCATTTACAACTTTTTATGACAACATATGTTTTTATTTCTTTGGAAAATATTCTTGACAGTAGCATTGCTGGGTGAAGTGATAACTGTGTGTTTAACATTTTGAGGTACTGCCAGCCTGTTCCCACTGGAGGAGGGCATGGCAACCCACTCCAGTATTCTTGCCTAGAGAATCTCATGGACAGAGGAGCCTGTCCATGGGATCGAAAAGAGCTAGACACAACTGAAGCAACTTTGCACATGCACACAGACTGTTCCAAAGCGGCTCTATCATTGTATATTCCCATAAGGGTTCCATATTCTCTACCTTCTTGCCAACACTTATGTGATCTTTTTTATAGCTATGTCAGTGGGTGTAAAGTGATATATGATTGTGTTTATATATATATATATATATATATAAAATTTTATATAAGTAAAATTTATTTATTATGGGCTTCCCTGGTGGTTCAGACCAGGTAAAGAATCTGCTCGCAAAGCTGGAGACCCAGGTTCCATCCCTGGGTAGGGAAGATCCCCTGGAGAAGAGAACAGCAACCTACTCTGATATTCTTGCCAGGAAAATTCCATGGACAGAGGACCCTGGTGGGCTACAGTCCTTGGGGTCACAAAGAGTCGGACACGACTGAGCAACTAACCGCTACACTACATAATTTTATTTATTTATTATTTATTTATTTTTTGCTTGGTCTTTGTTGATTTGCCCTGGCTTTCTCTAGTTGCGGTGAGCTGGGGCTACTTACTCTGTTGCAGTGCAAGGGCTTCTTGTTGCGGTGACTTCTCTTGTCTGCTCTAGGCCAAGGGCTCAGTAGTTGTGGCACAGGGGCTTAGTTGCCCCACAGCTTGTGGGGGCTTCCTGGACCAGGGATTGAACCCGTGTCCCTTGCATTCCAAGGCAGATTCTTAACCACTGGACCACCAGGGAAGCCCCCTGGCCATTTTTATATCATTGTTGAAAAACTCTCTTTTCAGATCTTTTGCCCACTTTTAAATTTGGTGGTGTTTTTTTCTTCTTCTGAATTGTAATAGTTCTTTATGTATTCTAGACACAAATGGTTATTAGATCTATGACTTGCAAGTATTTTCTCCTGCGGCTCAGCGGTATAGGATCTCCTGCCAGTGCAGGAGATGCAGGTTCGACCCCTGGATCAGGAAGATCCCTTGGAGAAAGAAATGGCAGCTCACTCCAGTATTCTTGCCTGGAGAATCCCAATTCGTGGGGTCACAGAAGAATCCGACATGACTGGGAGACTAAACAACAGCAGCATTCAATGAATTGTCTTTTCACTTTTTTTTTCCTGGTATCAATATTGTATTTTTTGTTTTTATATTCCTCTCTAAAATTTTTATTGGAGTATAGTTGATTTACCATGTTAATTTCTGCTGTGTAGCAAAGTGATTCAGATATATATATATATATACACACATTCTTTTCCTTTATGATTTATCACAGGATATTGAATACAGTCCCAGTGCTATACAGTAGAACCTTGTTTTTATCCGTTCTGTATATAATAATTTGCGTCTACTAACCCACACTCTGTTCTTCCCTCTCTTCTCTCCACCGTGACAATTGCAGATCTGTTCTCTATGTCTGTGAGTCTTTATCTGTTTTGTAGATGAGTTAATTTGTGTCATACTTTAGATTCCACATACAAGTGATGTCATATGTACTTGTATTTTTCTAACTTCATTTTGTATGATAATCTCTAGGTCCATCTGTGTTGCTGAAAACAGCATTATTTTCCTTTTCTGTGGCTGAGTAGTACTCCATTGTCTATACATACCACATCTTTATCCATTTATCTGTTGATGATCATTTGGGTTGTTTCCATGTCTTGATTGCTGTGAATAGTGCTGCTATCTTTTCATTTTCTTGGTAGTATCCTTTGGGGTACAAACTTTCAATTTGATTGAGTTCATTTTATGTACTTTTCCTTTTACTGCTTATTGCTATTTCTTTTGCTTTTGGTGACGTAAATGAGAAACCATTGCTAAATTCGAGGTTACAAAGAGTTACCCTTGTGTTTCCTTTTAAGACTTTTGTGGTTCATACTTGCTTTGCAGTGTTGTATTAGTTTCTAAAACAGCAAAATGAATCAGCTCTTTTGTTGTTTAGTCACCAAGTTGTGTCTGACCCTTTTGTGACCCAGTGGACTGTAGCCTGCCAAACTCCTCTGCCATGGGTGAGAATACTGGAGTGGGTTGCCATTTCCTTCTCCAGGAGATCTTCTCAACTCAGGAATAGAACCCACATCTCCTGCATTACAGGCAGAATTTTTACCGCTGAGCCATCAAGGAAGCCATGTATCCTGTCTTTTTCAGCTTTCCTTTCCATTTTGGTCACCACAGGTCATTGAGTAGAGTTCCTTGTGCTCCAGGGTCTCATTAATTATCTATTTTATACATCGTTTCAGTAGTGTGCATGTGTGAATCACAATCTCAGTCTCCCAGTTCGTCCCACACACCCCTCTTCCCACTGGGATCTATATGTTCTCTCTATCTGTGTCTCTCTTTCTGCTTTGTAAATAAGATCTTCTGTACCAATTTTTTCAGATTCCACATATATGTATTAATATATGATATTTATTTTTCTGACTTGCTTCACCCTGTAGATCTCTAGGTCCATACACATCTATGGAAATGTCCCAATTTTGTTCCTTTATATGTCTGAGTAATATTCCATTGTATTTTGTATGTACCATATCTTCTTCATCCATTCCTCTGTTGATGAACATTTAGATTGCTTCCATATCCTGGCTGTTGTAAATAGTGCTGCAGTGAACATTGGGGTACATATATCATTTTGAATTATGGTTTTGTCCAAGTGTATGCCCAAGAGTGGGATTGCTGGATCATATATGGTACTTCTGTTTTTAGTTTTTTAAGAAACCTCCATACTGTTGTCTATGGTGACCATATCAATTTACATTCCCACCAACTGTGTAAGAGCATTCTCTTTTTCTTCACACCCTCTCCAGCATTTATTGTTTGTAGATTTTTTGATGATGGTCATTCTGACAGTGTGAGGTGACACCTTGTTTTAGTTTTTATTTGATTGGCACTTCCCTAATTAGTGATGTTTAGCATCTTTTCATGTGCTTTTTAGCCATCTGTATATCTTCCTTGGAGAAATGTTTATTTAGATCTTCTGCCCATTTTTTGGTTGTGTTGTGTTATTTTTTTAATTGAGCTGCAGGAGCTGTTTGTATACAGTTTTGGAGATTAATCCTTTGTCAGTCGCTTCACTTGCAAATACTTTCTCCCTTTCTGCAGGTTGTTTTTTTGTCTTGTTTATGGTTTCTTTTGCTGTGCAAAAGCTTTTAAGTTTAATTAGGTCTCACTTCTTTATTTTTGTTTTTATTTTCATTACTCTCAGAGGTGAGTCAGAAAAGATCTTACTGAGGTTTATGTCATAGAGTGTTCTGCCTATGTTTTCCTCTAAGAGTTTCATTGTGTCTGATCTTACATTTAGGTCTTTAATCCATTTTGAGTTTATTTTTGTGTATGGTGTTAGGGAGTGTTCTAATTTCATTCTTTTACATTAGATGTCCAGTTTTCCTGGCACCGCTTGTTGAAGAGTCTGTCTTTCTCCATTGTATGTTTTTGCCTTCTTTGTCATAGAAATTAGGTGACCATAGGTGGGTAAGTTTATCTCTGAGCAGTCTATCCAATTATTGTTATATATTTCTGTTTTTGTGCCTGTACCATACTGTCTTGATTACTGTTGCCTGGTTATGAAATTGGGGAAGTATATTCTCCAACTTTGTCCTTTTTCAGTATTGTATTCACTATTCTGTGTCCCTTGAATTTCCATGTGAATTTTAGAATCAGTTTTTCAATTTCTACAAAGAAGTCAGCTGGGATTTTGATAGGCATTCTGTTTAATATTGAGAGCAGTTTGAGGAATATTGCCATTTTAAGCTTTCCAGTCCATGAACATGAGATGTTTTTCCATTTATTTAGATCTTCTTTAGTTTCAACAATATTTTGTAGTTTTCAGAGTGTAAGTTTTACATGTCTTTTGTTAAATATATCCCTGAGCATTTGATTCTTTGTAATGTTATTGTAAATGGAATTGTTTTCTTAATTTTTCAGGTTCATTGTAAATATAGTTACCAATTTAATTTTTAGTGTATTAATCCCACTAGAGAATTTTAGAAAAAGTACCACATAATTTATGAATGAAACAACAGTTATTCTGTTAGTTTGGTTATCTTTGAATAAAAAGTTTCTTTTTAAATTTACATTGACTTATAGAAATCCTTTAAACTGTTTTCATGGATTAATTTCTAACATTTGTAACAAAGGGGAGATGTTATTTTTCAGTACATAGCTATAAAGTCTAATACAAGGGTTTGATTTGTACTACTTGCGTACATATGTACAATTACCAGTTATTTCCTTGCTGTATGTTTCTAACTCCCCAGTTATTCAATATTTAGGTAAATGAGCTGGAAAACATATTACCATTATAGAAAGAATGGCATGATTGAATCCCATTCACTTATCACTTTGCTTTATCATTTACTAACTCATGGCTCCCACCCCCTAAATTATTTTGCTGCAAAGCTGGACATTGTATTGTTTCATCTATGAATTATATAGGTATACTTTTTCTAGACAGATTTACTCTTTGTAGCTATCTTATATTGGAATAAAGCCTGCTCTAATTGACTTTGCTTTAGAATATGGTTAGTTTATTAGGAAAGAAGAGTCAATAACTAAATTTTGTTTTTATTTTGATACACAGGGGTCCAGATCTTACGTAAAATGGATGTGTCTCACACTAGATGATGGATATTAAGTAGAAAATCTATTTAGTAAAATCTAAGCTGCCATGGAAGAAATACCAGTTAAAGTTGCTATAAGAATTAGACCTCTGCTATACAAGGAAATTCTTCATAATCATCAAGCTTGTGTGAGAGTTATTCCGAACACCCAACAGATTATCATTGGGAGAGATAGAATCTATACTTTTGATTTTGTTTTTGGCAAAAATTCCACTCAAGATGAAGTTTATAATACCTGTATAAAGCCATTAGTGTTGTCTCTCATTGAGGGCTATAATGCAACCGTTTTTGCCTATGGACAGACTGGATCTGGGAAGACATATACCATCGGAGGAGGCCATGTTGGTAAGGTTCTCATACTCTGACTTTTATTTGAGATAGTAGAAGTTGAGATACTACAGTGCCTGACACATAGTAGGTGCTTAGCATATTGATTGAATGAAATAATGAATAGGTTAATTAGATGTGTTCATAAGGTCATTTTTGAAAGATTTGTTTTTAAATATTGAAGTTTCATTAAGCATTTTAATTTATTATTATATTTGCTTGAGAAAAGTCCTTTAAGACGCATTCAGTGTTCAGCTCTTTGTCATTTTTTCACAGTTTTGAGATATAATTTACTTGTAACATGGTGTTAGTCCAAAGTATTTAGCATACTGATTTGATATATCTGTATATTGCAGAATGATACAGCTTAACATTAGTCACTCACGTGATTACATGTTTTTCTTGTGATGTGAACTTTTAAGTTCTACTGTCTTAACAGTTTTCAAATATACAATACATATTGTTAAGTATAGTCACCATGCTGTACATTACATCCCAGAACTTAATTATCTCATAGCTGAAAGTTTTTACCTTTTGAGCACCTTCACCCATTTCCCCACCTCCCAATGCTGGCCTCTGGAAACACTGTCTCATTTTGAACAGAGTTTAAAATAAGAGAGAAATGAGTTAACATGATCAGATTTTGCATCTTTTAGTATTATAAATGAGAGTCCTGCAACTAAGACTTAGAGGCAGTAGAAGAAACGTATTATGTAAAGTGTTTTTAAACATTTTCTAGTCAGATTTTTATTTTTCTAGCTTTAATGAGGTGTAATTGACAAATACAGTTGTAAAATATTTAAAGTGTACAAGATTTAGAGGCAGTAGGAGAAATGTATTATGTAAAGTGTTTTTTAAACATTTTCTAGCCAGATTTTTATTTTTCTAGCTTTATTGAAGTGTAATTGACAAATACAGTTGTAAAATATTTAAAGTGTACAGTGTTGTTATTAGGTAAATGTATACATTATGAAAGGATTCCTCCCATCCAGTTAACATATCCATTACCTCATGTATAGGCAGATTTTTACTTTTAGAACTGACTATTTTTGGATAGAAATTCTCATGTTTGTAATTCTAGTTGGGAAAGGTGGGATCATAGGATTTTCTTTAGCGCTGGAAGGAACCTTGAAAATAGTTTTTCTTCCTTTGGCTCCAGCCACAGAGCAATGAAGGGCTTGTTCAGTTAGGTGGCTCATGGTGGAGCTGAGATTGAAAGCTAGGTTCTCTGCTGAGATCGTTTACTGTATTCATTTTTTTTCCCCCACTAAAAGCAAACTTTGAATGTTGTGCATATATATCATTGTCTAAAATTATTGTTAATATTCTGTCTATGTATAATGAGTCTCAGTGTGTTTGCTTTGGTGCTTCTCAAACACTAAATAAGTGACTTTTAAGAACATCTCTTTTTATAAGGAGAGATTGGTAGGGAGAGTTAGAGGGCAGCTGTGTTGTCCAAGGAAGCTCTCATTCCAAGATTAAATGGAAGAGTCATAAGTGCCCAGTATCTCCTACCCCTTCCCGTTTTTCAGAATCACAGTGATATACGATTAAGAGATTAAAGTTACTAGATTATTTTAGGGTCTCTTGATAAATAATTCAGTTTTTTTCTACTACAAGTTGTGGGTTTTCTTGAGGACTTAGCTTTGTTTTTTTGATTGGCAAATGTTTTATGTTCTTTAAGACTCAGTATATGCCATATACTAATAAGAGTTATAAAATTTTCACAGCTTGGTGACATACAGCTAAATTGTTTTTTAAAAGGCCATGAATCCAATTTTAATTCCTTACAGGAAAAAGTTATTAAAGTTATCTATTGTCCTAAAACATTTTAATTGGTCTAAAATACTTCATTCCAGAAGAAATATCACCATTAGGAACAGTTTTTGATGTCCCCCCACCGCAGTTAAAAAAATTAATGTCCATTGTAAAAAGAATTGCATATGATGCTTAAGAAATAAAAATGAACAAATGAAAGCTTCTTTCATTCCTAGGAAATAATAGTTGGCTGTGTACATTGCTGTCTAGAGTCCTCTAGACATTGTCTAGGCTGATTACAAGTATTCACACATATAGTTTTTGTTTTTGTTATTTGTCTATTTACTGAGGTATTTTATACCTGTAATTCTTTAACTTTCTTTCTTCATTTAACAGTATAAAATATCATTTCATTTCTTCCCATTTAGGTCATAGAATTTCACCTTTTTTTTTTGACTGCACATATAATATTCCATAGTTTAAATGGATCATAGTTCATCCATTCCAGCATTAAGGGACAGTATTAATGACTAGGTTTGATTTTTACTGTTATAAAAAGTTGCAAGGGGTTTCCTGGTGGTCTAGTGGTTATGATTTAGCATTTTCACCACCATGGCCCAGGTTCAGTCCCTGGTCAGGGAACTTAGATCCCACAAGCTTTGAGGTGCGCCCCCCAAAAAGTTGCAGTGTGTATCTTGGTACATTTAACTTTGGATCCATGTGCTAGTATTTCTGTAGAATAGATTCCTAAAAGTAAATTTGTTGAGTAGTGGGAGCATGCTAAGTCATTTCAGTCATGTCCAATTCTGTGTGACCCTGTGGACTGCAGACTGCCAGGCTCCTCTGTCCATGAGATTTTCCAGGCAGGAATACTAGAGTGGGTTGCCATGCCCTCTTCCCGGGTATCTTCCCAACCCAGGGATTGAACCCACCTCTCTTATGTCTCCTGCATTGGCTGGCTGGTTCTTTACACTAGTGCCACGTGTATGCACATTTAAAATGTGAATAGATAGTGACAAATTATCCTCCATAAAGGCTGTACCTGTGTATATTCCCACTACCAATACATGAAAGCCATTTATTTGCTTTTATCCTTGCCAGTCACAGGAACTCATAAATTCAAAATATTTCTCTCCCCATCTGGTAGTTGAAAAATTACACTTTGTTTGAAGTTTCATTTCTTGATGTATTTGTGAAAATAGCATTTTCATTTTCCCAGGCTACCTATAGAACACCAGTTCTAGGTCAGCCATCTACTGTTTGATTATTGACCATGCAATTAATGTTTTTTTCTCCAGTAAATGATTGCATTTGCAGTGGCTAGGGCTTCCCTGGTGGCTCAGATGGTAAAGAATCCGCCTGCAATGTGGGAGACCTGGATTAAATCCCTAGGTTGGGAAGATCCCCTGGAAGAGGGGGTGGCAACCCACTCCAGTATTCTTGCCTGGAGACTCCCCATGGACAGAGGAGCCTGGAGGGCTATATAGTCCATGGGGTCGCAAAGAGTCAGACACGACTAAGCAACTAAGCACAGCACAGGGTACCATATTAGGTACTGTGGCAAAAGGAAAATCTGTTATTTTTCAGTGTAATACTTATTGAAAGTCACACTCATTTTCCTGCTTTTCGGAACCTTGAATTTACCAACTTCTACCAAGCATAATGTCTAAAAGCTTTCATTTGCATACTCTTTAAATAGTGTATAAAAGCTAAATGATGGCTGTTGAAGTATAATAAAACTTTATAGTTTCTTTCTGAAATAGTCTGTTTCAGGAGTATAAGTGTGACATTGCACATGTGATCTTTGGGTTACCAGAATACATTTTGAAGCTTTATTTATAAATATTATTTGTAATTCAGCTTTTTGATATATCTTTTGAATTGCCGTGCTTTGTTATCTGTTGAAATGGGAAATGAATGAGCTATTTCTGATCAGCCTCATATTTTGGCTAAGCTAGAATGCATATATAATGCTGGAGTTTATAGATAGTGCTATTGGCTAGTTCCTGGAAGCTCTCTAGAAGGAATTTTCACATTCTTATACTGGAAAAACCTGCAGCTTCCTTCACTTGCCACACGATGGTGATCTTACATCTTTTTCAGGGTTTTTTGGTGGTGCCCTGGGCAGTGAAAGCTCTGTCCTAACCACTGAACCACCAGGGAGTTCCCCTGTCTTGCATCTTGAATTAAGTGAATGACTGTCCAGGTTAATAAGACTCAGGTTTTCAGGATGTCTGTTGCCTAAAATCTGAACATTGATAATCTTCAACTTGGAAGGAGGTTGTTATTAAGGTTCATTTGTAAGCCATTTTTTTTGTAGCTTGGAATGTATTTTCTATGAGAGTGAAGGTGTTAGTTCCTCAGTCTTGTGTGACCCCATGGGCTGTAGCCCACCAGGCTTCTCTGTCCATGGAATTCTCCAGGCGAGAATACCGGAGTGGGTTGCCATTTTTCTGCTCCAGGGGATCTTCCCAACCCAGGAATCGAAACCAGGTCTCCCGCATTGCAGGTGGGTTCTGAACCACCAGGGGAAAAAAACTCATGCTCTTTTCAAAATGAGGTTTTTGGCTAAGTGTCAAGAAATATGACACCAATATTTTTTTTTAAGGGTTCTTGCTAACATAAATGAGTTGCAGTCCATTGATTTGGAATACAGTAATAAATAGTCCACCTGCATTATAATAAAGTCTAAAGAGAGATGTTTTAGTGCACAGGGCTGTGGGATAAGCGACCTAACCTGGGTTCAGTTGCTACTGCCTCTGTCTGTCTTGAACTTCATTGGTACCAGTTATGCCTGTTGCATTCCTGGGGCTTTCAATGTTTCCTTATTAAGTCTTTTATTTTTGCCTTAAACTGTTACATAAGTATCATTTAGGTTTTTGTTGTTGTTGTCTTGTCATTTGATTGTAAGCATTTTTGTTTTGTGCTTTTTCCAATTCTATAGAGCATATTTATTTCATTTTTGTAATCTGTATTTAAAATTTTTAGACTATATATGTATTTCTGAAGGTAAAAATTCAACTATTACAACTATGAAAGTTTTCCTCTCTTTTCTCTCCCTGTCCTAACTCCCCAGAGGTAACCATTTTTTGTGAATTTTTTCAGAGGTACCCTTCACATAGATATGTATGTATGTTTTCTTTTACCCAAGTGAAATTTACTCTGCAGTTTCTTTTTTTACTTTATGGCTCTTAGACATCTGTTTAAAAATAGATGCATGGTATACCATTGTTAACCATTCTTCTACTAATGGATTTGTTAGTGTTTGGAATTTTTTCTCAATTACAAGACATCTTTCAGTTCAGTTCAGTTGCTCAGTCATGTCTGACTCTTTGAGACCCCATGAACTGCAGTACGTCAGGCCTCCCTGTCCATCACTATCTCCTGGAGTTTACCCAAACTCATGTCCATTGAGTTGGTGACGCCATCGAACCATCTCATCCTCTGTCGTCCCCTTCTCTTCCTGCCCTCAATCTTTCCCAGCATCAGGGTCTTTTCCAATGAGTCTGCTCTTCGTATCAGGTGGCCACAGTATTGGAGTTTCAGCTTCAACATCAGTCCCTCCAATGAACACCCAGGACTGATCTCCTTTAGGATGGACTGGTTGGATCTCCTTGCAGTCCAAGGGACTCTCAAGAGTCTTCAACACCATAGTTCAAAAGGATCAATTCTTCAGCGCTCAGCTTTCTTTATAGTCCAACTCTCACGTCCATACGTGACTACTGGAAAAACCATAGCCTTGACTAGGTGGACCTTTGTTGGCAACATAATGTCTCTGCTTTTTAATATGCTATCTAGGTTGGTCATAACTTTCCCTCCAAGGAGTAAGTTAAGCATCTTTTAATTTCATGGCTGCAATCACCATCTGCAGTGATTTTGTTGCCCAGAAAAATAAAGTCAGCCACTGTTTCCACTGTTTCCCAGTCTATTTGCCGTGAAGTGATGGGACTGGATGCCATGATCTTAGTTTTCTGAATGTTGAGTTTTAAGCCAACTTTCTTACTTTCCTCTTTCACTTTTATCAAGAAGTTCTTTAGTTCTTCTTCATTTTCTGCCTTAAGGGTGGTGTCATCTGCGTATCTGAAGTTACTGATACTTTTCCCAGCAATCTTGATTCCAGCTTGTGCTTCCTCCAGCCCAGCGTTTCTCATGATGTACTCTGCATATAAGTTAAATAAGCAGGGTGACAATATACAGCCTTGACGTACTCCTTTTCCTATTTGGAACCAGTCTCTTGTTCCATGTCCAGTTCTAACTGTTGCTTCCTGACCTGCATACAGCTTTCTCAAGAGGCAGTTCAGGTGGTCTGGTATTCCTATCTCGTTAAGAATTTTCCACAGTTTATTGTGATCCACACATTCAAAGGCTTTGGCATAGTCAGTAAAGCAGAAACAAGACATCTTTGCTGATCCTTATATAACACGTTTGATTGTATGTGCATGTATTTCTGTAGAACTATCTCTGAGTCAGAGAGTGATTATGGTTTCAACTTTTGATACTGTTGATACTAATGGTTCTCCAAAAAAGCTGTCAGAGTTTACATTCTCATTGTGTTTTAGAGGTCCAATTTGCCCACCTTGAGGAAATGGGGCATAATCAATTTTAAAAATCTTTGCTCACATGGTATTTTAAACAGTGAATAATCATAGTGATCAGATCATTATTAACACAGTCTTTCATCAGTTACAACAGTGTGATTCTAATAGTATTTTAGTGTTAATAATTGAGAGAATGCTGGGTAATTCAGTCTTTACTGTATCTTAAAATAATTAATAGCATTGCCCACTTCCCCTCTTCTCTACCCACTCCACCTGCCATCCACCATCCCACTTCTCTGCTCCTCTTTGCAGAAGAACTTTGAAAGTGTCATTCATCTGTGACTCATGGTGTCAGTTCTCTCCATCTGACACGGCAGTTGTCAAGATATCACAGATGACCTTTACTTTATTAAATTCGTTGGTCATTCCAGTCAAACTGGCCTTTCAGCAAACTTGGTACATACTCTCCACTTGGATTTCAGGTCACCACATTCATAGTTTTCCTCCTACTCTCTTGCTAGTAGTTCCTCTTAAGTGAACCCACAAATGGTTAAATGCCCAGAGCTCAGTCTTTGGTGCTCTTCTCTTCTGACTCTCTGCTTTTCCTCTTGATCTCATCCAGCCCCATGATACTAAATACCATCTATATGTAGCTACCTGACTTCCAGTTTTTAACCTCCAGTCCAGACTACTGTCTTGAACTGTGATCTCATATATCCAACTGCACCCTTCTTAGTTGCATCCCTAATAGATATCTCACACTTAATAAATCAAAAAATGAACTTCTGCCGTTTTTCCCTTAAACTAACTCAACACACACTCTTCCCCTTCTTAGTTGATGACCGCCTCACTCGCTCAAGACAAAACCTTGGAGTTGTTCTTGACTCATCACTCTCTCACGTTCTGCATCCAGTCTGTCAGGGAATCTTAACGGCTCTCCTTTCAGCATCAGTCTGGACTCTGGTCACTTGTCATCTTTCTCTGCTGCCAACCTTGCGTCACCATCAGGTCCTCCTCTCCCTTGAACTCTGGATTCCTGGGTGAGTGCACTGGTCTAAGTGGTCTCCCACCTGCACCCCTGCCCTCCTATGTGCGATGTAAAACCCAGCAGATAGAGTGGTCTCTTACATTCCAGCTTACTGCCGTGCTCCAGTGACTGATCTCCCTCAGAAGACGACCTAAAGTCTGCCGTGGTCCGCAGACACCTGCACGCTCTGATTCCTGTCACCTCTCTGGCCGCGTTCCCTGCCTCTCTCCCCTTGCGCCCTCTGCTCCGGCTACACTGGCTTCCTTGTTTCTGGATCACGCTATTATTTTAGCACATTCGCACTTGCTGTTCTGTCTGGGACACTCAGATACATACATGGCTCCTCTGCCAGCCATTCAACTTTCTCCTCAAATGTCAGCTTTTCTGTGATGCTCACATTATGACTTTCCAGTTTAAAGTTGCAATCGCCTTCCACCCAAATACCCTTACTCTTCCACTCCCCCTTACCTTGCCGTATTTTTCTCCAGGCATACCTAATGCCTTTTAATATACTATATAATTCACTTATTCTTCTTTTGCTGTTGTCTGTCTCTGCTAGTACAGTTCCATAAGGGCAGGGATCTTTTCCCTGATTTGTTCACTGATGGTTCCTGGGGTCCTAGAATACTGCCTGGCACATAGTAGGTACTATATAAATATTTAATGAATGCATGATTGAAGTTTGAGTAAGCACACGCATGTGAAAACTGTTGCTTCTGAATTTTATAGTTACGGTTTTTAAAATTTTATAATAGAAATTTGAGAAAATAAATTTATTGATGGTAATTTTTTTAATTTCTAAAAATTTATTTTGAATGGGAGGATACTTGCTTTACAGTGTTGTGTTGGTTTCTGCCACACAGCAGTGTGAATCAGCCATAAGTATTCATATGTCCCTTCCCTCGTGAATTTCCCTCCCACTCTCCCCTCCCTATTCCCACCCCTCTAGGTTGTCACAGAGCTCTAGATTGAGCTTCCTGATTGTAAATTTATTGCTTATAGCTTTTCTTATATCTTAAGTTTCAGATGGGTTTTCTTTTTCTAAATTTTCAGCTTCAGTTGTGGAGGGTCAAAAAGGTATCATTCCTCGTGCTATCCAAGAAATATTTCAAAACATCTCTGAAAAGCCTAACATTGACTATAATATAAAAGTGTCTTATATAGAAGTATACAAGGAAGACCTAAGAGATCTTCTAGAATTGGAGACATCAGTAAAAGATCTTCACATCCGAGAAGATGAAAAGGGAAACACAGGTGAAGTAGCCTACTTAATTAATAGCCCTCATTAGCAAATGAATATGATCTAGTTCAGTTTCTGGACATTTTCCAAGGATTGTTTAAAAATAGACACAGAAACAAAATGCATTTGTTTTTACTTTTAAATGGAGTAACTTACTGATTACCAGTAGCAGCTAGTTCACCTAGGTGAAAAGCAGAAGTTCAGACCACTTGGTATGACGAAGTTATAAGTTATAATTGAAAATACAGGTGACCCTTGAACAAAGTGGAGGGGGTTGGCAGTTAGGGGTGTTGACCCCCTATGCAGTCAGAAGTCCAAGTATAACTTACAGTCAGCTTCTGTATCCATGGTACCGCATCAGCGGATTCAACCAACCTCAGATCCTGTAGTCCTGTAGTATGTTACTGTTGAAGAAAAAGCCACGTATAAGTGGGCCTGCACAGCTCAAAGCCGTGTTGCTCAAGGATCAACTGTATTTATTTCCAATAATCTGCCCCCTCCTGATCTGACCTTAAGAAAGACTATGACATAGGCTAAATTAATTTTGTACTTTTTTTTTCCTTCTCTCAGAGTTACCCTGAGATTGGGGATGGCATCTCCCTTTTGTGTTCATCCAAGTTGATCCAGAACTGTCCTTTCTACCTCTCTGATTTTTGTCCCAGCACACCTATTGCTTCCTATTTTTTTAAAAAAAATTTTAATTTAGAGTTTTTGTGTTTGCTTCTTCATACTGACATTTATCTGTCCTTTGTTGTGCTTCTCAAGGTCTGACTTTCTGTGCTGTCAGCCTGTTAATATCATTAAATGTCTATTTATTTGGAAATAGGAGAAGGTGAGAATGGGAAGGTCGAAATACAAGTATTTTAAAGAATAACACTTTCCACTGAATTTTCACATCATTAAATATTTTTCAAATTTATGACTTTATGTGGTAATTTTATCTTCTGAATATATAATCTATTTGATTAACAGTCTGTTGTTGGACATTTAGGTTTTGGATTTTCCTGATTATTAGTAACAGTGACTGTTACTGCATGTCTTCTGCTAGAAAACACATTGAGTAGAATCTTGCTGGAGATAAAGGATCAGGCCAGAGGGATGATTGTGACTGGGGGATTTCCTAGTAGTTAGGAAAATAAGATGGTTAGCGCCTTCAGTAGCCTGCAGGGGGCAGTAAAGCTTGCCTCCTTGTAGGCCCTGCCTTTGCAGCCCTGGCATTCCTGAGTGTTTGAAGGAATTGGTTTTTGTTTTGTTTTTTAGAAAGAAAACGTACATGGTACTTTGTGGCCTTATTAGATAATTTCGTATAGTTTATCTTTTCTGGGCAAAATTCAGACTGATGTTTTGAGCTTCTGTATCTTATAAAATGTAATTATTGAATGTTTTTATCTTTTATTAAAAGTTACAAAAATAATACATGTTTGCTGTAAAAGAGAGAGTACAGAAGTGTACACTGTCACTCCTGATAAGCTTAATGATCAAAATACTTCATAACTGCTAGAAATCCTGTAAAAATTTTGGTAGAATGTATGTCTTAAGACAGATTGCTGCTTACCTTGTAAAATGTCCCACTCACAACCCAGATGCGTTTGTTTGACATGTGTATAGAGTTCTCTCTGTCAAGTGGTAGTTGGTATCCAGCCTGGATGCTGCACAGTTAGCATCACCTTGGAAATTTTCTTTTCTTTGAAGCATTTTTATTTTTTTGGACGGTGCTGGGTCTTCGTTGCAGCGTGCAATCTTCTCTAGCCATGGTGCAAGGGTGACATATGGGATCTAGTTCCCTGCTCAGGGATTGAACCTGGACCCCTTGCACTAGAAATGCAGAGTCTTAGCCACTGGACCACCAGGGAAGTCCCACCTTGGCAGTTTTTTTAAGAAATATTGATTTCTGGCCCCACTTTTCACAAATTCAGATGAAGTAGTCTAGGATAGGGCATGGGTGTTGGACCTTTTATAAAGGTCCCAGGTGATTTTCAGCTGGGTTTGAGGACCATAGTTAGTGCCAAGCTATAGCCTAACATTAGAAAACTTCTATAAAAGTCATGCTATGATTTATGTTTACATTGTCATATTTTATAATCACCATAGTTTAGCACTCCTTGTTGTAGTACAGGTACTTTATAAATTTAAATGAACTGGGCTGTTAAGAGTCGTCAGGTTGAAAACAAGGCAAAAAGGTGAATATTGTTTCAAGAAAGAGTGACATATTAGGATCTGATTAAAGAGGAAGCGTGGTGCTGTAACTTGAGCCCAGATTTATTGCTGTGATTCAAATCCCAAATCTACCTACTCCTTTTTGAAATATTTGTAAGCTTCGGTTATTTTGGGTTCTCTTCTGCCATTGAAATAGAAGCTTTTTTGTTTTTTTTGAATTGCCTTGCACGCAGATGTTACATAGGGGAAACCTGTTTTTTAGATTGAATAACCAGCTTTATTTATACTGAAATTTTCATTTATCATTGGTTATGTTCTAAAAACCTTAGACCTTAGGATGGCTTGAATATTAAAGAAACTCAAAAGAGGCTAATTTCTTTCAATTCATTTCCTACTGATTAATTCTTTTGAGTTATAAAGATAATCTATAATTTTTTAATCAGTATGTTACACTCTACAAGTCAAAATACTGGAATAAAGAATTTTTCTTTTGTTAGCCATCTTAAAGAATTGAGTGTGATTCCAAAAAAAAAACACCCCAAATTGTTTAAAACATACATGCATATATTACATCTTTTAGAATTTAAACATCAAAATAATGCCATCTATTAAAATAATCCTGTTAGAAGATTATCTAAAATTATTTAATGATGTTGCTGATGTTACTTTTTTCTTTTAATGCTATTGATTTTTTTTTTTACAAAAGCTTTATATTGGAGTATAACTGATTAATAAGCAATGTGTGATAGTTTTAGGTGAACAAGGAAGGAACTCAGCCATGCATATGCATGTATCTATTTTCTCCCCTGGATCCCATCCAGGCTGCCATATAAATTGATCAGAGTTCCATGTGCTGTATACAGTAGGTCCTTGTTGGTTATCCATTTTAAATACAGATACTGATTTTTTTTCCTAAGGGCCTGTCTTAGCTGGGCAGCTTAGCAAATGAAAATTGTTGTGTGGTTAACTCTATTGTATTTTGATTAAAACTTGTTTTACAAACTTGCTGTTGCTATTTAAAGTGATTGTTGGGGCCAAGGAATGCCAGGTGGAGAATGCAGATGAAGTGATGAGTCTCCTGGAGATGGGAAATGCAGCCAGGCATACAGGTACGACCCAAATGAACGAACACTCCAGTAGATCACACGCGATTTTCACCATCAGCCTTTGTCAAGTGGACAAAAATAGAAAGGCAGCTGAAGATGGATCTTGGCATTCCTACCGGCATATTGTCTCAAAGTTCCACTTTGTGGATTTGGCTGGATCAGAAAGAGTAACCAAAACGGGGAATACCGGCGAACGTTTCAAAGAATCCATTCAGATCAACAGTGGGTTGCTGGCTTTAGGAAATGTAATAAGCGCCCTTGGGGATGCACGCAAGAAGAGTTCACATATTCCATACAGGGATGCTAAAATTACCCGGCTTCTGAAAGACTCCCTTGGAGGCAGTGCCAAGACCGTCATGATCACTTGTGTCAGCCCATCGTCCTCGGATTTTGATGAGTCCTTAAATTCTCTCAAATATGCCAACAGAGCACGCAACATTAGGAACAAACCCACCTTAAACTTCAGCCCCGAGTCAGACCGTATGGATGAAATGGAATTTGAGATTAAGTTGCTTCGAGAAGCTTTGCAAAGCCAGCAGGCTAGTAGCAGCCAAACTAGCCAGGTCCATCAGGAGGGGACTCCTGATAAAAATAAGATCCATGCTCTTGAGGAGCGAGTCACTCAGCTACACGGAGAATGTCTGGGTTACCAAAGCTGTTTAGAGGAAGCCTTTACCTTCCTGATGGGTTTAAAAGATTCTGTGAGGCTAAACGAAAAGCAGCGACACAAACTGCAGGAGTGGTTTAACATGACCCAGGAGGTCACCTTTTTCAGAGGACACCGGGGCATTGGAAACCTGGAAGAAGGACCACAGCATATTACAGTTCTCCAGCTGAAGCGAGAGCTTAAGAAGTGCCAGGTACTTAGACACCACCTTAGTAGGTAACTTGTTTAAAGACTAAATTTATTTGGGCAAGTAAGAGTCATTTTGGGGTTTCAGAAGTTTTGGTTTTTTTGTTTTTTTTTTTTAAGTGTTATGTAAAATCTCATTTGCCTTTACTCTGTTTTTTTCTCCCTGTTGCTTTTCCTGTTACCCTGTTTTTTTCTGTTTCCTTTTCCTCATTTTCTTAGCTCCTCCTCTTTTCTCCTGATATTTTAATTTGTTGTATTTATTAAGTAGACTCTTGTGAACCTGGTCATTAATTTAGAGAATGAAAAGAAGCACAGTTTCAGAAACAAAATTAAGTTAAATTTTATTGTTTTTAATTCCTCTTTAGGTCAGTGCTTTTTGAAAGAAAAATACTTCATCTCTTGAGTTTGGAGTTTTGATTCTTTAGACAAATCATTATGTTTGATAATATTTAAGGAATGTAGCTATGTTCATGTATACATATTATATATATGTTAAACTAAGAATTACATTTCTCTACTTTTCATTCATAAAGACATTTATTATTTAAAGATTATGTGTCATTGGGGAAATAATGGAGAACAGACATATCTATTTATGCTTATGTGGCATTTGCATTCTGGTAGGCAAATGGATATTCCACCATTTTTTTAAAAATAGAAAAACATATAGGTAATGAGATAGTTTTCTAGTTAGAAATCTTTCTTCAGTATCTTTTTTTATGTGTATTAGAAAGAAACCTCTATTATAGCAATTCTTGAACTTTTTTCTCACAAGACTACTTTCTCTAAATTGAGGTCCCCTAAAGATCTTTTGTTGATGTAGTTTGTATCTATTCATATTTACCATATTAGAATTAAAACAAAAAATGTAAACTAGTAGATCACTCAGAACTAACAATAATAATCCAATTAATGTTAACATAAGGAGCATTTTTTCATGAAAAATAACTATTTTCCAAAACAAAAAATTTAGTAAGAGTAGAATTGTTTTATATTTTTGCAAATCTTTTCATGTCTGACTTAATAGAAGACAAGTGGATTCTCATATCTCTCAGCATTCAGTTTGTTGCAGTATATTTAGTTGAAGTGTGTAAAGAAAATTCAGGCTCATCTAGATTTGTCGTTGGAGGGGAAGAATATATTAGTGATTTTTTTCAGGTAATTGTGAATATCCTTTGATATTACATCAAAACTCAACAAGTAGAAATTTCCTAATGGTTACTTGTGATGTGGGATTTGAAACCATTTTGTTACATTAAAGTTCACTGATTTTTATCTTACATTTTGAATGGATCTTTTATCCACACATGATTTTGAATCAGCATGCATTGGACACTTGAGAAATATTTGTTTACTAAGTTATGAAGATTTTTCAGTGTTAACATATTCACAATATAATATTAAAAAATCACATTCATTAATATCACCTCTGATCTCACCTCCTGCAAAATCTTTAAGTATTGGTAGCGGTCAAGTTTATAGTAGCAGAAATGTTTTCCAAAATTCTGATTTTTGTATGAAACTTAAATTTTATCATTTGCAGTAAATACTGTTAGTTGTTTTCCTTGCAATTATGTCACACACCGAAGTGTTAATAGCTTATCTGTTGTTCTTTAGAGTAAAAATAGCACCCTATGAAAAATGTGGCTAGTTTAGCTTGTAACTCAGCAATTGCACAAGGTTTTTTGCACCAGGTAACTCTCACCCTTCATTATACAGAAGAACTACTTTATGCCTGCCCATTTTGACACATGGAATACTAAAAAAAAATGCCCATGTGCTGAGATTTAATAAAGTAATTTTTATTGCTTCATCAGGATATTCTTAAGTGATTCTCCATCCCCTCATAAATACCTCTTAAGGGACTTTGTTGCTTTTTTCCTCCGTGATTTGAACACAGGAGCAGTATGTGAACATGAATATACTCTACAGATAAACACTTCTTAAAAACACTTTTAAATAAAAAATAAACAAAAAAGCTGTAGTTTATAAAGTATATGTAACAACACCATATGCAGCACTGGGAGAACAATGACACTGTAAGCTCTCAGACTGACAGTTAATTGCCCGGAGCAGAGGACATGGGCTAATGAGAATTATAGTTATATTTTATTTTAAAAAGAGAAAAGTCATAAAGGTCACGTAAACATATAGGGTTATAAGGACCATCAGGGTCATGCACACTGTCCTATTTGGTCATTGCAACATCCCAAGCAGAAAAAAGAAGGAACTCTCCCAAAGCCCCAAGAGAAGGCTATGGCAGAATCAAGGCTGCCTCAGTCCATGGGTTCCCAGTGGAGAGGCCTGTCCATCTCCATGCCACCACCTGAGGAGTCATGTGCATGCTGTGTTTTTGAGAATGCAATTTTGTTTGTAAATCATCATAGAACTACTCATTCTTCTCTTTTCCTGTGTCTTAGTGGAAAGAGCACAGGCTTTGGATCCAGACAGGCCCTGAGGTTGACTGTCAGGAGTTTGGTTTATCCACTGTGCTGTCCTAGAATGATGTTCACTCACTGAACTTTAGTTTCTTCATGAAAATGTTTAATTTCTTCAATGAGATATTTTTAAATCTCAAAATACAATCTAGTATAAAGTAGGCCCTTGACCAATGTTAATATTCTGTTTATTTAGTTCAAAATTTATTTTATAAGTATTATTTGCATATTCCAAGTTTATTTGTTAACAGGAATAATTCACTAGGAACTAAGAAAACTATATGTTTAACCATATTTCCAAACATCTTCAAAATATATCTCTTTGTAGTGAAAGGATGCAAAGTTAGCAAATGTTCTTCATTTAAATATCCATTATAAATATAGAGCATTCTTATACTATATAGGTCAATTTGGGAATTGTGACCTTTTTGATTTTTGAAGACCCACATTAAAAATCTCATGGCAATTCTAGAAAACTTGTAAACACCTTATTGAATGTACTATAGAGTTTGAATAACTGGCTTCAGCCTTAAAATACACGAAATAAAAATAAGGACTGTCTTCCTATCTGTTTGCTGACTAATTCTTACGTTATACCAGTGATGGGTCCTCTCAGCTGTTTCTGCCTTCCTTACAATACAGAAACAAGAAAAAAAGGGTAAGCAGATTTTGCGTCCTCATCAAGCTGTCACTAAACCCCGGTTTTTGTGGTGTTATGCAGCTTCTCTTGAGTATTTCCCACGGTGACTCTCTTGTGCTTTCTTTCCCCCCTCCCAGTGTGCGCTTGCTGCTGATGAAATCGTATTTAATCAGAAGGACTTGGAAGTGAAGGAGCTAAAGAGTCAAGTGCAAATGATGGTGCAGGAAAACAAAGGACATGTTGTTTCTTTGAAAGAAGCACAAAAAGTGAATAGATTGCAGGTAGAGTTAAATGTACCTTGCTCTGTGTATTTCATTGGAACAGTACCTGACTAAAATAGCATTGTAAATAAGTAGGAATGTTTGCAAAAATAGGTTTCAGTTGAAGAGTTCTGAACACAAGCACTTGAACGAGTTACAGTTTTCCCCTAAATTGGTGTGAAGGGAAAATATTTTTATTGTTAGCTTGACTTACATTTCACAAATATAGAGCCTAATACCCAGGAATTTAATTTGCAAGTCATGTTGTAGTTATCCTTTGTTTATACTTTCCCTTCTGTTGTTTGCCAGAGTAATAGGCAATGGGATATTGTTCAGTGTTGGAAGGTAAACACATCATTTAAAATTTTGATTTGTTAGATTACATTTTATACTCTTGTCAGTGATTTGCTCATTCAGTTTGGCTAGTCTTTCAAATTCTCTATCTTAGCTTTTCTGTATTAACATGGTTGTGCCTGCAGTGTAACATGGTATGTCCCTAAGTATTGGGTTGGCTAGAAATTTAGTTTGGACTTTTCCATGAGATATTTTTGGCCAACCCAGTATTATACACCCTGGCTGTGAACCCTCCCGTCCTCCATACAGTTCATTTCATTTAAAGCCTTTAGCTTCCTATCAGGGAGTAACTACTGTCCTGAATAATGATCTGATCCAAGAAACATTAGACTTTGATTTTGACATTACTTTTTTCTTCTTCTTTTTAAACCATTCTATCTCTGTATTAATTTAAAAACATAGTGAAAGTAGTGTTAGTCATTCAGTCATATCTGACTCTGCAACCCATGGACTGGAGTCTGCCAGGCTACTCTATCCATGGGATTCTTCAGGTAAGGATATTGAAGTGGGTTGCCATTCACTTCTCCAGGGGATCTTCCCAACCCAGGGATCAAACCCAAGTCTCCTGCATTGAAGGCGGATTCTTTACTGTCTGAAAACATATATAAACTAAAATGTGTTGTTCAGTAAATTATCACAAAGAGAACAACTAGGTAACCACCACCAGTTCAAGAAACAGCAAACTGCTAGCCCCAGAAGCACTTAGTCTCTCCTCGGAGAGAGCTGGTCTCCTAACTTTGATAGTGATAATTTCCTTGCTTTACTTTGTGGTTTTACTATGTATCCTTGAACTCTGCAATTTAAGTTTTGGAATTTTTATAAATTTACTCATTCAATATATATTCTTTAGTATCTGGTTGCTTTTACTGAACATTTTGTCTATTCTGCTTCATCTCCGTTTTTGTGTGAAGCTGTAGCTTGGTTAGTTAATAGCTGTATAGGATATCATTGTATGACTATTTCACAATTTATTTTTCTTTTTACTGTTGATAGATTTTTTTTCCCTATGAATTTTCTCATACATGTCCCCTGGTGCACACACACACACATTTCTTTTGGATTTGTGCCTAGGAATTGAATTGCTAGGTCATACATATGGTAGGCAAATCTTCAACTTTAGTAAATAATACCAGACTTATTTTCCAGTTTAAACTTGCACCAGCACTGTATGAGCATTCCTGCTATTCCACTTGCTTGCCAGCATTTGTTACTGTGAATTTTTTAGATCTTAGGCAATCTGGTAGGTATGTAATGTTATTTTATTGTGTTTTTAAAAATGTATTTCTTAATTTAAAATATTTATTTATTTATTTATTTTTGGCTGGGCTGGGTCTTTTTTGCTGCGCACAGGCTTCTCTAGTTGTGGAGAGTGAGGCTACTCATTTGCAGTAGCTTCTCTTTTTGCAGAGCATGGGCACTTGGGTGTGTGGGCTCAGTAGTTGTGTATGGCAGGTATGTAATGTTATTTTATTGTGGTTTTAATTTTCATTTCCCTGATGGCTAGTGAAGTTGAGCACTTTTTCATGTTTTTTCTTTTTTTGGTCTTTGGGTATCTTCTTTTTAAAATTATTTTTGGCTGCACTGGGTCTTCGTTGCTGCACCTGGGCTTTCTCTAGTTTCGGCAGGATGTATTGTTATGCTGGGGGTTCCCAAGACCACCCTCAGGTTGGATGCTGTACTTGGGGCACTCAGCATACAGTTGTGCTCATACCTAAGATTTATTAGGCATGGGCCTAATAAGAGAAAGCAAAGGGAACAGGGACATAGAGTCAAGTCCAGAAGAAATCGGGCACAGGCTTCCAAGAACTGTCTCCCAGTGGAGTCACCCACATGTACTTAACTCCCCCAACAAAGATTGTGACAACTCATGAGAAGTGTTGTGTGCTGAGGAGACTCAGGTTTTATTGAGAACTGGCCATGAAGGCATTCTCTGACCAGCATCTACCAGAATTCCAGACTAACAGAAGGAAGGGAAAGCAGGTGTTCAACATAAACCACCTGGTCTGCACAAACACTTTGAGCTCAGTGAGCCACTCTTACTCGATAGGGTATTGGGAACCCTGTTAGGATCCGAGTTCCCAGACACCAGCCAATGAACAACCTTGTATGCAGGTCCTTCAAAGGATAGCAGTCAAGTCTTCTGTGTTAATTTACTCTTTTCTACAAATGTCCTTGATTTAGTTTGTAATTATTTTGTTTAGGATTTTAGCATGTCTATTCATGTGTATATTTTCTTTTCTCAAAATATTCTTGTCAGATACTGTAACAAATTAGGTTAACCTGATAATATAGTTTAGGTAGCATTCCTTCTTTTTCTATACTTGGGAAGAGTGTGTGAAGAATTGGTGTTATTTCTTCCTTAAATATTTGGTTGAATTCACTTGAAAAATACTTGGGCCTGGAAAATTTCTCTGTGGAATGTTTAATATGACTTCAGTCACATTTTCCTTTTGCCCCTTTTTGGTAAGGTCTGTTTTTCTAAGAATGTGACAGCTGTTGCATATTTCAATAAATACGTTGAAATGTTTATAATAGTCTCATCTCTAATGCTTTTAGACGTGTAATGATAATCCTGTTTTTCATTCCTGGTTATTTGTGCCTTCTCTCTTTTTTTTTCCTTGATCAGCTTCACCAGAGGGTTATCAATTTTTTAAGTCTCTTCAGAGACTAAATTCTTTTTTTAAAATTATAATTTTCTTTATTTACATATTTTTGGCTGTGCTGGCTCTTCGTTGCTTTGCTCCAGTGTTTCAATCTAGTTGTGGCAAGTGGGGGTTACTCTCTAGTGCACAGACCTCTCATTGCAGTGGCTTCTTTTGTTTTCGAACACAGGCTCTAGACCGCATGGGCTTCAGTAGTTGCCGCACCTGGGCTTAATAGTTGCAGTTCCTGGGTTCTAGAGCACAGGCTATAGTTATGTTGCATGAACTTAGTTGCTCCCAGGCATGTGGGATCTTCCCAGATCAGGGATCAAACCTGTATCTCCTGCATTGGCTAGCGGATTCGTTACCACGGAGCCACTGGGGAAGCCCACAGAGAGCCATTCTTGACTTTGATGATCTTCTCTGATATATGTTTATTTATTATTTAATTAATTTCTACCCTTATCTTTATTATTTAGTTTTTTCCTGCTTTTTTAGGGGCATAGAATCCTATGCTATCTTTCTGAATTGTTTAGATGGGTGCTCAGTTCATTGATTTTTAGCCTTTCTGTATATTTTTAGCCATCTATAATATATGTATTTAAAATTATATGTTTCCTCCTAAGCTTATCTTTATCTGTATCCCTCATTCAGCTCAAAATTTTTCCTGATTTTTATTGTGAGTTTTTTCTTTGACCTGTGGGTTATATAGTTAGTTATTTTATTTCCAACACATGAAGGATTTCTTTTTATTAATTCTTAGCTTAATTGCATTGTTGTCCACACAACTTCAGTTCTTTGTGTTGAGACTTGCTTTATGGCTCAGCATAAGGCCAGTTTTTGTACATATAACAGATATGCTTGAAAAGAATTTGTATTCTGTAATCATTGGGTTCTCCTAATTCTGTTAATCCTCTTATTCAAATTATATTTTTACTCACTTTTTTGTGGTTTTTTTTTTTTTTTTGTCCTATTGGTATTTTAGAGGGATTTTAAGATCTCTTACTATAATTTTTGGATTTGTCTTGCAAATACAATTTTTGCATTTTGTATATATTGAAGCTGGGTTATTAAATACATAGAAATATAGAATTGTTACAGCATCCTGGTGAATTGACCTTTTTTTAAAAAATCTTTTTTTAACTTCATTTTATCTCCCAATGGTTTTTGCATTTAAGTCTATTTTATATTAACATAGCTATACCAGCTTTCTTTCTTTTAAAAGGACTCTTTTGATTAATATTTACATGGTATCTCTTTTTCCATCTTCTCTTTAATCTTTCTTTATTGATTTTAGTTATGTTTTTTGCAATTAGCAGGTTAGACAGTTTTACAGTTCTTTCTGGTAGTCTTTATCCTTTAATTGGATTGCGAGTTCGTTTCTGAATTTAATATAATTACTCTTATATTCTGGTTATAATCACACCATTGTGGTTTTTACTTATCCTATCTGCTCTATATTCATTTTTCTCTCCTCCTTACTTTTTTTGGATTTAATTGCTTTAAAAGTTGTACTTTCACTGATCTTAGTGGTTATCCTGGAGAGTATATACCATTCACCCTTGACTTAAAACAGTCTAATATTAATTGGTATTTTTACCCTTTCCCTGAAGAATAAAAGGACTCCATTTAGTATCCCCCTTCAACTTATATGCTATTGTTTTATATTTTAACTATCTGAATATGTGGTTTTTAAAATAATGTTACATTTTATAGTTGAGCATTAACACATTGAAACCTTAGGGTTTGCTTTTTTTCCCCTATCTAAACATTATAGTACATGTGAAGTGTTTAAGATGAATGACTCTTTTCTATATAATTTTGTGCTTATAAAACAAAACTTACATGCTTCAAAATTTTTCTTTAGAGGATACACAGAAAGCTAAACCACACATAGTGTTTCTCTCTCTCCCCCATGCACCCATAAACAACTTACTCTGCCTTTGATTTCCAAGTTCTTTCTCCCACGACTCTCAATTGCCTGTCTTTTACCTCTGTTTGTGGCTTTCTTTTTCACTGAGTAAAGGCTTTCACTTCACTGCACCTGTTACCACTTTCTGCCTCCTTTGCTGTCATCTTAGCTGTTTGCCGTTTTCTACACTTTTCAACTTTCTAGTGTTTTGTTACTTCTTGGATTTCACTCTGAAAGTTCAGACTTTTATAAAGATCAGCTAATCATAGTGCTTCAGGTGGGCAAGCTAACCAATCACAGTGTATGGGGCAGTATCTTGCTCTAACTCATTAGCTGTATTTGTTCCTGCTTACTATTCACAAGTTTTTAACACTCAGGGCAATCCTAAATTCTTGTGAACAGCAGAAGGCTAGTCTTTGGGGTTTTGTTTGGTTGGTTGGTTTTTAGAATTTTGTTTGTTTTTTTTTTTTGGCTGTACCTTACAGCAGGTGGGATCTTAGTTTATCGACCAGGGATTGCAGTGGAATTGTGGAATTCTGCAGTGGAATTGTGGAATCTTAGCCACTGGACCACCAGGGAAGTCCCAGAAGGCTAATCTCTGGATAAGTTAGGTTTTATTGTTTTGTTAAGGTAGTTGTGATTTTGTGATCAATGTACAATTTATTTTTAATCATTAACTCATACTGAGGCTCTCCATTTTTAAAATTCTTCTCTTTCTTCTACAAAGAATGAAAAAATAATAGAACAACAACTTCTTGTGGATCAACTGAGTGAAGAACTAACAAAACTTAACCTGTCAATGACTTCTTCAGTAAAGGAAACTTGTGGAGATGGGCCAGATACCAGGACACTTGAAAAGAGACCATACACTGTACCATTTGATACTCGTTTGGGGCATTATATTTATATTCCAGCAAGATTGGATTCCAGGAAGGTAAAGTCTAAGCATTAACTTGTTTCTTTTGAGGTTGTATACTATATTATATCACAGTGTATTTATCTTGACTTATTTGGTCTATTTTCAAAATGATATCCATGTATTATTCAATCTTGTCTAATATAAGGCCTTCAGTCATGTCCGACTCTGTGCGACCCCATAGACGGCAACCCACCAGGCTCCTCTGTCCCTGGGATTCTCCAGGAAAGAATACTGAAGTGGGTTGCCATTTCCTTCTCCCTCTGACATAATTAAGACTGTATAAAAATCAGTATGAAGTTTCATTTAATTTTTAAATTTTACTTTATAAATTTTATTTATAAAATGTGTATATATATGTGGATGCACAGATTTCTCTTGAAAAATCAAGATTAAGGAATCTCCACCATGGAAAAGACTAACAGACTCATGAATTTTGGTTTCTATTTATTAATTTTAGGAAAGGAAATGATTTATTTAAGATCAATGTGTTGGATACAGTCCAAGGGATAAGAAATGTGAGAGGTGTCATAGGCTTTGCACTCAGGCAGGCTTGGGTGTGAACCCCAGGCTCCTTATCTGTCAGAATGGGGGACCTGTGAGGGGTATAGAGAGGTCTTGCGTGAAATGGTGCCTCCAAAAGTGCCGGCACACTGCGTCCTGACACGCACACGTTTACGGGGCACCTCTCCTGTGTCCCCGGCTCTGTGCCTCAGAGTGAGTGAGACAGATGTTACTGTCACTGTAGAGTTTTCAGTTTCAACTGGTTGCATTTAAAATTTAAACTTTTGCTACTATTAATTTCAGTTGAACTTTCTAGAGTTATTGCTATTTTCTTTTGGTTGAATGTATGGTAAATTTTCATAGGACATTTAAGAAGAAAGATAAGTTCTTTATAGAATTGAAATTGGATATCTTTGGATATTAATTAATTAATTGGATATCCAATTGGAAATTGGATATTAATTCTACTTAATAATTATATATCAAATCTATAGTTGGTGTTTTTTTTTACTCTTGGCTAGTAATGTGAATTTCCTGTTTCTGTACATTCTTTTATTTTATAAAAATAACATTTTTTTCTGATTATAAAAGTTAGACATTTATTATCTCTCTCAGTGTCTGTTTCTTTCTCTTTTTTATTAGACTTTCACACACACACACTCGTACACACATTCTTTGAGGAGACAGCTGAGAGGAGTATTGAGAAGGAGCTAGGCCCCTCTGTTCTTATCTCTAGTTGTTTGATTAGACCTGAAACAGCCGTGATTGCAATAAAAACTTCCACAGTTATTGTTTCAAATTAACAAATTCTTTTTTTTTAATTTTTAATTAATTTTATTGCCCCCTTTCACTTTCACGGATTCTAGTTTGGAAAACATATTCTGTGGTTACCATAGTTTAGGAGAGGGCAGATACACTATAAGACTTGTAGCTCCTCTGTGGTTACAGGTGATCTCCAAGTTTACTCGTGACCAAGTGGGATTAAAATGAAATGGGAAGAAAGAACCAGTGAATTTGCCAGAAAATTGCTATGACATGGAAGGAAAAGATCCTGACCAGGGACAGCCCCTTATGTTGACAAAGGGAAACACTTATTCCCAGTGCTATTTCCTTCACTATGGACAGACATATGTATTCAAATTAGCAAATTCTTAGTTTTGTTTTTAAAATTTAGTGGCTTCCAGCCATTAAAAGAAGGGGAAAAGGGAGAAAATGCAAAGGTAATATAACCGGCAGTTTTGAGAGTTCTGTTTCTCCTATTGTGTGTCCAGGACTCTCGGCCCCTCTCTTGCTTAGTCTGCTGCAGCAGACACAGGCTTGTATGGGAAGACCCAAAGCCCACCAAGCCTTGTTCAAGCCTTGCTTCCTGTTCCATTGTTCTAGAGTGAGAGGAGAATTTCATGTTAAATACCAAAACTAGCTTAATTAAGCCAAAGAAGACATCTGAAATATCATTTCATTTTTTTTCTGGATTTCTGTCTCCTTGGCAGAAGTTGGGCTAATATTTTCCAGCTCTAATATTTTCTTTTGGAATTTAGCTCTAATATTTTCTGAAGTAAAAATAATCTTGACAAGGGAAATATTTCAACTTAAAATTCTCTCAAAGCAAAAGGGGGACAATGGCTTCATCGGTTTTTAAAAAATATTTATTTTTGGTTGTACTGGGTCTTCATTGTTGCACTTGGGCTTGCTCTGATTGCCGTGACAGGGCTTCTCTTGCTGCAGAGCAGAGTCTCTTGGCGCTTGATCTTCAGTAGTAGCAGCGCGCAGGCTCGGCGGCTGGGGCTCCTGGGCTGCAGAGTGGGCTCAGTGGGGTGTGCAGGCTTAGTTGCTCCTTGGCATGTGGAATCTTCCCAGACCAGGGACTGAGCCCATGTCCCCTGCATTGGCAGGTGGATTCTTATCTGCTGTACCACCAGGGAAGTCCTTGAATAAGTTTTTTAATTGATTACAAAAAGAGTTTTATTTCCTATGGCTTAGTCGCTAAGTTGTGTCCAGCTGTTGGACCCCATGACTGTAGCCCTCCAGGCTCTCCTGTGCATGGGATTCTCCAGGCAAGAATACTGGAGTGGGTTGCCATTTCCTTCTCCCGGGGATCTTTCCAACCCAGGAATCGAGCCTGGGTCTACCGTGTTGCAGGGAGATTCTTTACCAGCTGAGCTGTGCTGTGCTCAGTTGCTTGGTTGTGTCTGACTCTTGGCGACCCCATGGGATGTAGCCTGTCAGGCTCCTCTGTCCATGGGGATTCTCCCAGGCAAGCATACTGGAGTGGATTACCATGCCTTCAGCTGATCTTCCCAACCCAGGGATTGAACCCAGGTCTCCCTCACTGGAAATGGATTCTTTACCATCTAAGCCACCAGGGAAGCCCACCAACTGAGCTACAAGGGATATATTGGAGGGAAACAGTGAAAGGATCTTATTTATTTTAAAAGCAAATTACTGAGACTTCCCTGGTAGTCCAGTGGCTAAGATTCTGAGCTCCCAATGCAGGGGGCCTGGGTTCGATCCCTGGTCAGGGAACTAGATCCCACATTCCACATTTAAGACCCAGTGCAACCAAATAAATAAATATTTCTTTAAAAAATATATTACTTATGTGTGTATGTATAAATATATATGTACTTTTTACATTTATTTTTAATTGGAGGAAAATTGCTTTACAATGTTGTGTTGGTTTCTGCCATTCAGCAATGCAAATCAGCTATAACTATACATATATCACCTCCCTCTTGAACCTCGCTCCACTCCCCTGATCCCACCCCTCTAGGTCATCACAGAGCACCAAGCTGGGCTCTCTGTGTTACGTAGTAATTTCTCACCAGCTATCTATTTTACACATGGCAGTTTATATTTGTCAATGCCACACACACACACACACACACACACACACACACTTTTTGTTTGTTAATACTAAATTGCTATTTAGATGCACCTACTTTGGACACTTTTAAAATTTTTTTTATTTTTTAATTGAAGGATAATTGTATATATACTTTTATAGCTATCATTTCTCACTTAATGTATCATGAACACTTGACAATCATTAAATTTTCTGGAATATATCATGATTTTGATGGGTAATAACATTCTAAGTGCATGTCATTTTGTACTTTTTCCTGTTGTCACACATTTGTTTTCAACCATCTCTTAATCTAAAAGGTTTAACACCAAAATGGAATTTTGGGACTTACCTACTTAAGTAGAAATCCTAAAGAAATTGCCTCTCACAACTAAATATAATAATATAACTTATCAAATTAATAGAAAAAAAAAGAGTAAGGGGCTCATTTGTTTTAACAGATACTGGAAACTCATCTAATGAAATGTAAAATTGACCTAGATTTAAACTTAAGGAAAAAATGTAACAGAGGTTTCTGTTTTCTTAATGTGATTAATATGATATAATTAAAGCCAAATGCCAGTGTTATACACACCAAAATGGTACTTTGGAAGGAAAAAAAATACGAAGCTGGTACCAGTCATTACATAAGTTTAAAATAACACCACATATTCTGATGATGCTACTATTTTTCATTGATTATATGCCTCACTCTTTTTTTCACACTTTATCAACTATGATGGTAGAATATGTTTTACAGTTGATGGTATTTCATAGATGATAGCTTTTCTTCTTTTGTGATGTGTCTTAGTCGATGACAGATTTGATGAAATATGGCATTATGAAAAGGAAATAAAAGCAGTAGGTAAATAATTTCACTTTCAGTACTTAACATAATTGTATAGTAAGAAAACCACCCAGAATGTTCTTAAGGGATATATTTTTAAAACCTTATGGAATCTCCAAATTCACAAAAGTGGTAATACCTGTATAATCTTTTCTTTTTCCTGAATGAATTACATTTTTATTGAGTCACAGAATTCTTGTGCATTAAATCCCTTACACTGAAGTCAGCTGCCTTTTTACTTTTCACTAAGATTTTATCTTTCACACAATGGCAATTTCCTACCCCCACCAAATAATTAATTTTGCTTTTTAATCACTTTTTTGCTTACATGAGGTTCTCTTGGCAGGTTCCCTTGCCAACCAAACACTCATTCCAGAGAAACATTGCAACTTCATAGTAGCAAAATGACAAGTTGCATCTCATGAACCTTTGTGAAACTTTCAAATTCAACTACAAAATTAAATATGTGAAAGCCACAATCTATGGTAAATGAGTTGCAGCACATCTAATGAAACAAAATCAAATGCATCACTAGTGAGAAGAGATTATCTTAATGTATGATGATTGAGAATACTACGTTCAAGTCTGGGTATAACACCTTAAGTCAAATTAGATTATTTTTGGAAAACAACCAAGTTGCTGTAGGACCTTGGGGAAAATCTTGAAGTAACTCTAGATTTAGTCTGAATTATGGGGACATAATGACTGTGTTTATATGTTTGAAGGCTTATCATTATTGTTAGACTTTGTCTCTAGAAATAGGACCAGTGAAAAGCAGTGCTAAGGGAATATAAAGAGGGATTTATTAGTGAAAACTATCAAAATAATACTAGAGGTCTCAGGGCTTAATAGGGTCCCCACAGTGAATTTATTTAAGCAGAGGCTAAATGATAATTTGCAGTATTACAGAGAAGAGTTAAACCTGGGATGAGTTGAACTGTAATCTTTAAAGTTCTGTCCAGTCCTGTTGCTGTGTAATATTCAGAAAACACAATTAGAATAAAAAAAAATTGTTTTCTAGTTGGATATACCTCAATTATCTGAATTATTACCCAGCTTATTGAGTATTTACATAATGACCAGTGTTACTTAGGGTATGGTTGAAAATGCAAGCATAGTCTTTGGGGAGCAGGGAGTGCAGAAGCAACTAAAGAAAGCAGGATCCAACACTTAGGTAGCAAGGGGACAGATTATAGAAGGCTTTATGAGCCAGAAGGGGTTAACCATTCTTTTGTGTGGAGTGACTGCTAACGAATTAATTTTCTGAATTTTTTACTCATTGTGGCAAAGCCTGTTTCATGATTAAGCTGGGTCATTTGATTTTCTTTGTAAAAAGAACATTTGAAAGCCAGTTGAAATCCTAGAGAACAAAACTTGATTCTAAACAAAAAGTTTTATTTGCTCCTGAAATAAACCCCTCCTCAGCCCCCTACCCACACCCCCAGCAAAGAGAAACCTTGAATTCTATTGGTTATAATGCAGATGGCCATGCTTGGTACCATGTGCTTGTTAGATAAATACTTCTTGAGTTGGTTCTTCTGTAAATAAACTCCCTTGCCCTCCCCCATATCCCAGAATTGGGAGGCCACATAGAAAACTTTACCCCCATTCATCATGGTGCTGATATGACACATGGCCTTATCAGGTGACCAACAGTGGAGGCACAAAAATCAGGTATTAAGGAATATCCAGTATCAGATAGGCTTTTCTGGGAGGGGATGTGTAAGAAACCTACATCAACTGAATCTTGAACACTGTATGGTATATACATTTTTACTATATGTTGTAATTTTAATAGCTTATAATAATTTATATTAATAAATTGAATGCCTCCTCTGAGATCTTATTGTTTACCTTTTTGGATAAATTACCTTGAGGTTTGGTTATAGAGACAGATAGGTGTCTCAGATGGTAAAGAATCTGCCTGCGATGCAGGAGGCCTGGGTTTGATCCCTGGGTCACGAAGATCCCTGGAGAAGGGAAGAGCAAACCCACTCCAGTATTCTTGCCTGGAGAATTCCATGGACAGGAGAGCCTGGTGGGCTACAGTCCATGGGGTCACAAAGAGTCAGACATGGCTGAATAACTAACACTTTCACTTATAGAGACATGGTTAGAAAGTAAACATTTGGTAACAAAAATGAAAATAAAGGCAAGTTCTAATTCATTGTTGTTTTCCAAGGTGAATTTTTGAGAACTTAAGGCCCAAAGAAGTATGTTATAATATAGAAAGTTTGCAGGCAGTCCATGAAAATCTCCTTATCCCATGTCACTAGGGCATTAATCAGCTATCCCTGACTACCACATGTGAAGCCTGAGTCTATACTTTGGAATTTCCAAATCAGGAATATCTTACCCTGGCAGAGTGAGTGGCAGTGGTCCTGGATTTCTTCATGTGGCAGGATTTGGATTAGGGGGGAATGACAGATCCTAGCAACACTGTGATTCTCCAGGTGGTCAGCACTGGGGAGGCTGGGGCAGGGCAGCGCTGGTGCCCTTACACTGTGTGTGGGCTTCACATGGGCCCGGGAGTGCCTGAGCTGTGTTCAGGAGCTGGGATGTTTCCACTCATGCCTCTTTTTGGTTTCATTTTTGAGTGCTGTTTTTCCCTGACGCTATAACTGAAACCAGAAGAGCTTTCTAGAAGAGGAAGAACTGTATAGATTCTTAAAGAAGTGTATATCCTTGAGACACAATAGTATTGTGAAATGAGTTTTGACTCTCTTGTAGGCAGTGGGGGGCGGGAAATGTATGTTTTCAGTGATTGGCTCTTTTAAGAGTACCTGTCTCATAACCTCTTAGAAAACACATTTTGAGCAATATAATAAAAATAGACACTTTAAAAAATCACTTTTTTTTTTGTTGTTGGGTGGGGGAATCCCTTGTAAGGTCCACACAAGTCCTTCTGTATACTCTCTGGATCGACTAGTTGCGGGATTTCGAACACGAAGTCAGATGCTGCTGGGTCGTTTAGAAGAACAGGATGAAGTCCTCCAGTGCCAATTTTCTGATAACAGTGATGATGAAGAGTCAGAAGGCCAAGAGAAATCAGAAATTAGGTATGTTAATATATATATATTAATATTGACTGATTTAATAAGCGTAATTACATGATACAATAAATATATACAGAAATAGGGGTTTTTTTACATTAAAAAAATTTTAGTAGAAGAGTTAAGTGGTTTTTGCTATGTGTACTGTCAACTAATGTGTTACGAAACCAGTATTTGAACACGTCAGTCTAACAACTGTAAAATAATTGTGTTTTTAGAATGTTTATGGTGATTGGAGTTTAATTTTCAGGGAAAATTATTTTGGATTTCTTAATTCTGCTTCCACGGTGGCAAAAAACATGATGAATTTTCCACTGGGTCCAACATGGTGGGGGGTATCTCTTTACTTGGTGAAATATCAGTAAATTCCATTTATTTTATGTAAGCCGTAATTTAAAGAGTAATTTGGGGGAAAACTAATTTTAGGGCACATTAAAAATGACTAACAGACAAGTTACCTTTGGTCCTGGTCTTTCCCTTTTTTAGACGTAGAAGTTGCTCATGGATTCAGAAGCCAGGCTCTGTTTGTTCACTTGTTGAATTGAATGATGTTCAGGATCAAACACAGAAGTCAGGATTGGAGAATGAAGGTACACAGACTCTCTCGAGTACTTTAGATCTAATATTTATAAGACAGTTCTCTTTTTCTTCAAGCAATAATTTAAGAAGCATCTAGGGATTGTCAGAGACAGAAGCTTGATCTGGAGGCTCTCCTGGCTTTTCCTTTCTGTCCTCTGCTCTGTGCTCTGATTTTCTGTTCTTTTTTTTACTCCTTAATAAAGCTTTTTCACCAATCAATTCTATCTAGAGTTATAGGCTAAATCTCTCAGAATGGGGATTTTATATTCAAACTTGAGTTTGACTTCCTACTCTTGCCTTCTTTAAAATCCATCTTAAGTAATTTATTGGGTGTTTCTTCACTGCTTCACTGGCACCCATGCCTACCATTAGTGATGTATATGGCATTAGAGCCAACTTAGTCTAGCAGTTGCTTGTAATGCTCACAACTGATGAGAATTTTATGCATTAAAAATGGCATAAAAGATGTTTATGTTGCAAAAACTGTATGAGGAGATTTTAGCTCATTTCTCTTGGTAAGAGTGGTGAAAACACGAGTACAGAGAATATAAATAACATGATAAATAAGTCCTACACTGTGAAAATAGCATCTTTTTAAGAGCCTATGCATATAATATTAAAACATGAAACGAAAATAGATTTTAAAAGTGTATGATAGTGTAGATAAGTGCTATAGTCACATCCTTGAACCGTTTGTTACTGGTCTACAACCAGGTAAGAAACTTATGTCAGAATGTAAATCAGTGCACCAGCTCCTTCACTGAGGAAGTCTCACTATGAAAAAAGTCTCAGCTGAACTAAAACAGTGAGGTAATTTATATTTATGTTCTGGTACAAGACAGAATATAACAAACAGTATGGGACCATGTTCTGATTAGTCTGGGATAGAATGCATTCTCTGATTATAGTAAAACTACAAGTTAGTAGGAAAAAAATGAAAACCTCTACCCATCTGGAGATTTAATAGGTTTTTTAAGTAGCTCAGATTAAAGAAAAATTCAAATTGCAGAATATCTAAGAGCAATGAGAAACTGTGTCAGAACCTGCAGGATATGACTAGAGCATATATATGTTTTAAGGAAAGGAAAACTCACTGTAAGCTGGAAAACTAAAATCAAAATTGCCTTGTTTTTTCCTTCTCTGTCTGTCCCTTCCTCTGGTACTTGTAGACTGCTTCTGCGTCTGCTTTTTTTATTTTTAAACTCTACTTGTATTAAATGTGTCTGAGCAGTTAGTTTTATTTCTCAGCTTTGTTTCTTTTATTTTGAAGATTTAAAGATTGAATGTCTCCAGGAGAGTCAAGAGTTGAATTTGCAAAAATTAAGAAATTCAGAACTCATATTTACTGAATCTAAACAAAAAATGAGAGAACTTACTATTAACATCAAGATGAAGGAAGATCTGATTAAAGAATTAATTAAAACAGGTAATAGCATCTTATGAACCAGCTTATATGAGAAAGAAAAGCTTCTAAAGGTGCTTCTGGTGTTGTAACATTTACTTTAATTTCTGATGCTCAGGACTATCCACATCAGTCTGGAATTTGGTATAGCAGGGTGGGCTCTAAAGCCAATACGTGGAGGTTAATTATCAAAAGAACTTTATTATGTTCTATTTCATCTATGAATTGTCCTAACCAGTGTATAAACTCTGTCTTGTCCTGAATCTCTGTGGCCCTTAATGTTTTTTGTCATTTTTTAAAGAAATATTATACTTGGCATCTGGAAATAAGATGTCTGAGATGTTTTCCTAACTCATTTTAGTAAATACCTATTTTAAATTATTGGTCTTTATTTTCTTGAATAATTTGTTTTTAACATTAATTTCAAGCTTTGTATTTTAACTGTAGATAGCTTTTGTTTTTCTGAAGATGTAAGGACTTGTCCTTGAGAGCTGTCCTCTTGAGTGAGCCAGGCTTTCAGCTCCTCATCTTAGTCTCAAATTCTACCAGGTTGGATGTATATATACCACCACCTTTGCTCACCATCCAGCTCCATTAGGCTTGCTCTAAAATGTACACCTCAAGTTTTTTTTGCTTCCCCCAACTAATATACTCAAAGTATAAATCTTGACTACTCTGAAATTCAGTAAAGAATTGAAGGGATAAGACCACTAACATTTCTTTTCCCCAGTTCCAATGCAGAACGACTCTCTGGTCTCTTGGTGGAACTGAAGGAAATACTATTAATACCTTTCTCTTCTTCAAGCCCAGGACTATAATCACACTCAGACTACACAAATTGTGGGTGCCAGATCCTCTGCCAGTAAGGAGAAACTTGCCTTCCCTCTCCCTCCTCCAGGCTTGCTTTCTAGCTGTCAGTCTTCCTTTCTCAACTACACACACACACACACATGCTGTCCAAAGCACGCTTGCTTTCTAGCTGTCAGTCTTCCTTTCTCAACTTCACACACACGCGCACACACACGCTGTCCAAAGCATGCTTGCTTTCTAGCTGTCAGTCTTCCTTTCTCAACTACACACACATACACACGCGCGCGCGCCACACACACACACACACGCTGTCCAAAGCATGCTTGCTTTCTAGCTGTCAGTCTTCCTTTCTCAACTACACACACACGCGCGCGCGCGCGCGCCACACACACACACACGCTGTCCAAAGCACGCTTGCTTTCTAGCTGTCAGTCTTCCTTTCTCAACTTCACACACACACACACACACGCTGTCCAAAGCATTTTCGTTTCTTGTTCCTGGCAGTGCATCCTTCTAGCTCCAGTTATTCCACGTGTTTGATTTTGACTCTGCTCCTGCCTCGTAGGCAGGATCGATGCCAATAAGCCTCTCTCAGGAAAAAAAAAAAACAAACAACACCTCTCTTAGGTGAATCTAGGAAACAGTTTAGAACTTGAGGGTATTGACTGCTCTAAAATAAATGATTTTCTTTCAGATAGGTTATCCTACCATAGGATATTTAGCAAGCACACTTATGTAGACTGGTATACCCATCCTGGTTGCCTTAAAATAGAGGATATCTGTACTTAAACTGAGAAGGTTCTCTTCTTGCTCGTTAGAATGAAGGGCAATTTGGAGCTTCCTGAAGACCCTTAGACATGGTGTTTAGCAGAAGGGTCAATGTGTACTTCCTTTTCAAAGCCCTTTCACTGAAGACTTCCCCAAATAGTAGCTACTTCAGCCAAAATGAATAACAATGACAATTATACTGTATTCATCAGTTTTAATATACACTTTTTCACATTTTAATATCACTGAAATCAGAATGCATCTTAAAAATCAGTGGCATTTTAGCATTTTTTCATGCTGTAATTGGTACTGTAGTTTTTCTTAGTGGTTCAGAAAATATTGGTGTGTTAAATAATTTTGGGGATCTTAGAGTCACTAAAACATTGTCATATTTTAAAGTTAGTAAGAATCAGAATTGTAGGGCCAGAAGACAATTACATGTACTTATTTATAATTAATTAATTGAGATTTTAATTAAAAGATTTTTATTAAAATTTTTATTTCTTTATTTTTTTATTTATTTTTTATTAGTTGGAGGCTAATTACTTTACAATATTGTAGTGGTTTTTGTCATACATTGACATGAATCAGCCATGGATATACATGTATTCCCCATCCCGATCCCCCCTCCCACCTCCCTCTCCACCCGATCCCTCTGGGTCTTCCCAGTGCACCAGGCC